AACTTAACCCGAGCTGCCAGGAAGGCTCGCGTTCTTTATAGGGTCCCATCCTGTGATGCTCTGGCAGTACGGGCAGGATTATTAGTGATTAATCCCTTAGCTCATTCCGGTTGTTCCTTGAGAGATGCCAGCACTGTATTGCACGTGAAGAAAATACAGGGAGAGACGCCAAGTCTCATCAAATTAACTCATTGCAATAGGTTATAGATTAAAGTATCAACAAAATGTAAGCTTAGTTAATAAGCCATAAGCAGCTAGATGAACTTTTGTGATGAAATGTGTGATTTGCCACACCTTCAACAAGGGGATAATTGCTTCTTTAATTGTAATTGAGCTGTTTCATATAAGGGGTTAATTGGAGGACAGGGTGCCCTGTACACTTCGGTGACCCAGTTGGGTTTAGATCCTGATGTGATATTTGTCTACATTCATGTCTTTAATTAGGAGTTAGGGCAAGGGAAAAAAAAAAAAAACATCCACGAGTTGCGAGGCAGAACAAGTTGTTTTGCCAAGCCAAGATGACAGTGGCTTTATTGGGCTGCTGTTGCATGGGCAAGAGCTGGCGGCAGCTGGCAGCTCCTCCAAAGAGGCAGCATCAGGTGGCTGCTCCACCTAATTGATTATTAATACGACTGCTGTTTGCTTTGTTGCACGAGGGCCGCGTGTGCTTTGCCGCAGTTATCCCTTAATTGGAGCTTCATGTGTATGCATCTCTGTGCAGGTGTGTGTTGCCGAGGCTGTGTTTTGTATTCCCGGCAGGAAAGCGAGCTTTTAGAGAGGGGATCAGAGGAGCTGGTGGCTGCAAATACTGATGAGCCGGGAGACAGCGGTGCCTCCGCTAGTGCCTTGCTGTGTGTCATGGAATTGCCTCCTGCTGCCGAGAGGCGGGAGGCTGGGAAGAGCAGCATGGGGAGCCTGACCTCCTTCCCCTCGCTACCAAATCCCACCCCCCCACTGCTTTTAATAGCTTTTCTCGATGAGGTTGTCTGTCTGGTCCTACTTTGACACTGCTCCCGTGGCCGACAGTATCTCCTGTCCCTTGCCAGTGTCTGAGGTACCAGCATTAGCACCAGCAGAGATCGCCCGGCCTCAGTCCCCATCTGGAGGCTGAGTCCCATAGTGTTTGGCTTCCTCAGTTCCTGCAGCAGTAAATTCTGCAGATTTAGTGCGTGCCATTGGTGTGAAGAATTATGGTACTTCCATATTTCAAGTGAGGTATTTCCAAAGTTTTGTGTACAAGGTGTACTTTAACTGACAGTCAGGAGTTGCTTGATCAGATTTTGCTCCTAAATTTCCAGGTGCCTCTAAAGCTGACAGTCTTTTATTACCAAAAAATACAAATCTTACCTGAAGAAAATCCTGTATAGCTTTAAAATTGGTAGGGCATTGGAGGAGCTGTCAATACAGCAGACAGTGGAAATGGATACAGGTTTTAGGAAGGGTGCCATTCTCAGAGACTTCGGTCACCCCTGGCATCTTTTTCCCTTACTGAATCTAAGCATCATGGAAAGTAAATAACTCGATGCTGTGAGGAAGGCAGCGCCTGTCTGTCTGTGCATCTGTCCCTGTCATGGCTGAAGAAGAGCAGGCAGCATCTCCAGCACTGAGCCCTTGCTCATGCAAGGAGGTGGATGCAGCAAGGGACCTGTTTTCTGGTGGCCCTGGCACTACCACTTTTGGCTAAGGATGCCTTGAGCTGTGCTTGATTTTAAGGCTGAACAATGAAGTTCTCCATGTGGTGTTACTTGAGCCATGCGGTCCCTCCTGACCCCTGAAGTTTATCCTTCTGTATGGCTTCCCTTCCCCACCATGCATAAAGTGAAGCTGTAAGAGGCTCAGACGCATCCAGCAGCTGTACACACACTCCATATAGATTTTAGTGCTCGGGCAGCAAGCTGGATATATGTGCCATTAAGGAAGTGTTTCCACAGCAGGAAAACAAATTCCCCTTAGTGGCAGCAGAAGCAAAGTAACAACGACAGAACAAAATGTCACTGTGGTTTGCACTCACTGTCTCGTTCCCTGTATGTGTTTTGTGCTCTCTCCTGGCCGTAATTTCTGCCTTTTGGGGGATGACTTTTTCTTTTAACCTTAAAACAGATGAGAAATCTATTTCCAGAAACTAGTACGCAATGGGCACAGCATCCTCTTCAGTGGGCAGCTGTAGGATTGAATACTATGAAAACCAAATCCAAAAATCAAATAATGTTCTTCAGAAAGGCGCTTAGCTCTCAAGGTACCCAAACTAGCTGCAGCAATCCCAGGGCAAACTGGTGCTGGGTTCATCCCCACAGATTTACTCCTGTGAGAGGCACCAGGAGCCCTTCCTGCTACCAGAAGCTGGGACGCTGACGCTGTCGCATTTCGTGCAGGGCGGCATGTGGCAGGTTCCCTCTGTTAATTAGAACAAATGTGCCAATTATGTTAATGCCTCTCCTGACACCAATCAGGGAATAATTAGAGACAACACATCTGTCTCTTAGCGGGGAGCGTGGTGACAGGAAAGGCGCCATGAGGCCTGCCGCTCAAAATGGCAGCCGCCTCGTCCCACCTCGCGTGAGGGCCCAGCCTCGCCCAGGGTGCGTGTGGACCTTGGTCGGGCTCAGTTAAATGCAGGGCAAGTTTCTGTGTCAACGGGCCCAGCAATCTACCTCAGCAAGGGGCTGACACCTCAAAAACATCACAACATCAACCAAGATGGTTACTTTAACTGCCTCAGTAAGAGCTTGCATACTTGTCGCTCATAAATCATGCCGACTCCATGTACTTTGCTCTCTCCTCTCTTGCGTTTCCCCACATCAGTTCCTGCTTGTGTAACAACATAACACTGCTCTCACCATGTCTGGTTACCTTTGTCCAAAAAGAAGCAGAATCTGCTTCATGGCCAGGGCCAGAAGTTGTACCCTGCAGGGTACTGAGCAGCTGTGAAAAAAAATAGGTCATTAGTAACTGAAAATATGTACTAACTAAAGTCTTGTTTAAATATTGCAACGTGTTTTAATTGGTTAACATTTGTACAAGGAGTGAAGGAGAGAACGCACGTGCTAATTATCATTGGAATGGGGTGCGCTTTTTTGTGCTTCTCTTTATGCTCATTGCTGAAATATATGCAAAAGGAGGCATTTTTTCCTCTGAAATCATCCATCATGTGTTCAGTTCCTCCCTTTAGACTGAATGGTATTATATTTTGCTACATGAATAGACTTAGGACCTCATAAACACTCTGTTTGGAAGCCAGAGCAAGAAGGAGCTAGGTATGTTAAAGATGTGTCTTTAAGGTATTGAGTTGAAACACATACATGCACACAGAGTTTGAGTTACCAATATACTGCCAAAACATATTTTTCAGGAAAAAAAAGGAATCCTGATATTTTTCAATCTTAATATTTTTTTATTAGCAGGTTCTGTGGGCCATTAGATGAAAAAGATCCTTTTCTTAAGAGACTTGAGAAACAGCCAGCGGCTGTATACCGAATTACACCAAGTCTCTATTTTCTGATATACGCAACGCCTGTTTTCATACGATCTTCAGTTTTGCACAGATGAAAGGGAATTCAATGCTCACAGCTTTAATTTGGCCTAATCAACTGAGGCCCAGGCTGAATACGCACGTATGAGCACCTGGAGAGAGCGCTGCAGGAATTATTAATGTGAGCGTGGGCTCTGCATTGCTCTGCGAGGCTGTCGCAGCTGGGGGTTACGATGGAGCAGCTCCGACGGGGAGGGAAGGGAGGCCTTTATGCCCAAAGCTGGGAGAAACCCTGGAATGTGTCCCCATGGTCCCCACGGCCATCACCGCGGGCTCCATCGAGCCCTACATGCTTGGGCAGCCCTGCGCAAACCTGTGGGAAAGCAGATCTGGTCTTGGCAGCTTGCACCTTTTGAGGCCTTGAATGTGTTTGTGTTCTTCTCCCTTTAATTAAATCCTGGGCACAAACTGGAATGAGGCAGGGACGTGAAGGGCTGCCTTTGATCCATGCAGAGCCCCAGCCCTTCCCTCTGAGCACGCTCCTCTCAAATGAAAACAAGCTACTGGATTTTTGGCCAAATTATATGAGAGTGGCTCAGCGCGGTCTGCTGGCTTATAATAGGGTGTTTCTTTGGGAAGGCAATAAAGAGAACATTGTCTGGATTAAAAATCACATACAAAAATATTTTTTTGTGTAACCAAGGAAATTGCACTTTATTAAAATAAAGTATAGCTTACCTAGAGAAAAAGAAAAAGCAGGCATTTATGTAGTCTTTGTGATTCCCTATTTCCTTGGCAACTGTCTTTATTTTGTTTAATCCTGATTCCGGTGAAACGATAACATGCATATACGTGTGAATGTGTGCATATGTTAAAATATTTTTGTATTTGTAGTTTGTTTCTTACCTACTGCGGTAGCAGAGCCTCACAGTGCTCGACCCAGTACAGGTACATACAAGGTTACCACGTTATTTACTGCCTAATTGGACAAGACACGCAAAAGAGTGAGGAAGAAACCTTGGGGAGCCAATGGTAAAGGGAGATTGTGTTTGTAGGTCCAGTCTTAAGGCTTTAAGGCGGCTCAGACATACAGTGTTTTTGGGACACACCACACAATCCCACACGTTTTGCCCAGTGAGGATTCCTCATTGCCTTCTCTCTGGCCCTTTGAACCCTGCAGGTGGAGTGGCTCAAGAATGAGGAGGTGATCGATCCAGTGGAGGACCGCAACTTCTACATCACTATCGATCACAACCTGATCATCAAGCAAGCCCGTCTCTCCGATACGGCCAACTACACCTGTGTGGCCAAAAACATCGTGGCCAAAAGGAAGAGCACGACGGCGACGGTGATCGTCTATGGTAAGTGCCCGCCTCATCCTGCAGCTCCATCCCCAACCCGGCCTCGGCCCCTGCAAGGGCCCTGCTGCCCGGGTGCGTCTCAGGCAGGGAGCGAGACCTGCTCTGACAGCGTGCCAGCTGTCTGCGCTGGTGTTCCTGGCAATCAGCTTAATTATAGGATAGAGAAGTAGGGAGAAAAAATCCCTATGATTATCCCTAATATTCATTTCATATGCAGGGCGGCAGTTGGATTTAATTGTAAGCAGTTGCTTCCCTGAAGTTACAATGAGGGCCTTTTAGCTCAGTTTTTATAGAAAACTGCCTGAATTGAGTTGATTAGCAGCGTCTGCGATGCTGAGGGATGGACCTTGCATGAGCACTGTGTTTTGTAACTGTGATGAATACAGCATTATAAAGATGCAGGCATTTTGCAACTCTTCTTCATACATATACAATATTATTTTCTAGTGTGCAGTCAGGAGACATATGGAGGGGAGTAGCCATTTTTATGCTTTTTTTTTCCTACCAGAGCTGCTTAAGGCTTGTGTCATAACATAAACATTTGGGGACTGAAATATCTTAGCAGTTAATATGTTATCCATACCCTGATGCCTACTACATTGGGCAGCGTAGCTCCCTCTCCATCAGCCCATCTACCCCAGAAGCTGAGATGGTGGAAAAAAGAGAGTCAGCAATAAATATCTTCCCCTGGTCCAGAAATAAAAATCCATATTCATTCTGAGCAGCTTAAATCCCGGTCATAGTAATGCTGGGACCTGCATATGCACCAGCTCTCTCCGTGGAGGGTAAGTACTTGCCCTGATGTCCTCAAATTGCCTTCTGTAAAGAAGTGAAAAGAAAATCTTCAGCTCCTGATGTCCATGTCCAAAGCACTGCTGTGTCTCAGCATGCACAGATTATGGGTTGTTCCGAAAACGAGCTGGGCTAGGGGTTATCCTGCTTTGGGAAACGATGCAGCTTTTGGAGCACAGGCCGTCAGGCTCACATGGCCCTAGGTGCACCCTGAGCGCTCGCGGCTTCGTCGTACCCGCTCAGCTCGGGGTTTAGTGCTGGATCAGAGAGGGGCAAGTCACCCGCCAGCCATAATGGTTGTCAAATGGTGCTTTTTGTTGAGCATCAGCATTCCTTGGACTTGAGTGCTGACTTTGAGTCACAGCACATTCTGTGCATTGGCAGCATGAATTTGTGTTTATTAGTGGTCCTGGAAGTGCATCCTCAGGCATCACTTGTGACTGCTGGTGGAGCCAGTAGGACATGGGGCTTGAGGCACCTTTGCGCTGATCAAAACGACTCGGTATATTAAGTTGCCTGCCTCTTGTCCCTTGTTTTCCAGTGAACGGAGGCTGGTCGACGTGGACGGAGTGGTCAGTGTGTAACAGCCGCTGCGGGAGAGGCTTTCAGAAGCGCACGAGGACCTGCACCAACCCTGCCCCGCTCAACGGCGGCGCCTTCTGCGAAGGCCAAAGCGTGCAGAAAATAGCGTGCACCACGCTATGCCCAGGTTCTGTATATAGCCCTAGTGCCGCAATTACACACTGCTCTGGACACCAGACACTTCAGGAAGCAGATGCTATTTACCAAAGCCTGCTTCTCTTTACTAAAAACAAACAAACAAAAAAGCATTTCACTGATTTAACATGTAATTATATTACATAAGTAGATAAAATAGTGAGCAGACATTATACTAAGCAGTAAGGGATTCAGTCCCACTCCTGTACAAAGCTTGCATCGTTGACTCAGTCCTAGTAATTCAGGGGATTTAGGAAACCGGCAGAGCTTCAAATTGTAGGAGCTAAAGCTCTTTATAGGTTGAAAGGTCTGAAGGACTGGAGTTTGAGTACAGAAAGTGATTGTGATCTAAATATATTTGCAATGTCCATTCAGACCAACTGTCACAGTGGATGTTAAATTGGAAGCCTAGGTTTACCTGGTGTCAAATGCACAGACATTTATGCTAGGTAGAGTCCTATATCTGCATCTTTCAGAGGATTTCATATACTCGCTTATAACTGCAACATCATTCAGGACACACAGGGTAGTTGGTGGCTTTTCTGTGGCAAAATTCTGCCTCCATTGTATTGTCCAGGGCTTTCCTATGCCAGTAGTCCCACTGAAATCAATGGCAATACTTATTGCATAAGGTCGTCTTCAGCCTGTGAAATGTAAAAAGCTAAATTTTCAGTTCCAACCATTGTTTCATGTGAGAGACTCATAGCTCAGTCTTTTTCCTTGGAACAGTTGCCTAATTTGTTCTTTGTCTACTAAGTAATAATTTGTTCCTGATCCTAAATCCTAATTTGTTCTTTGGCTATTAGCGCTTTTGGAAATCATTTATGGGATTTTGAAAAGTGCTAAGCATAGTTCTCATTCTGCTCATGCGAAATAGATCACTGCCTTTAGATATTTCTTTTAGTGTAACATATTTAACATTAATTACCTCCCCATTAGAGAAGACTTTCTTGTCAAGTTTAATTTTAGTCTCTGCATTAAAAAATCACAGACTCCCAAGCCGTTTGTCTCCTCATACGCTTTAACCATGGATAAACTGCTGGCAGTTTTCTAAAAAGGGAGGGGAAAGAGCAGAGATGGGGCTGGGGCAAAGAAGGAGAGCGGGTGAGTGTGTGTTGCTAGTCCAGGAATATCCCTGAGGAAGGTGTGCAGTGACTCGTTCCTTAGGGCTAGTTGGCACGGCCTAGGATCCTTCTGACTTGCACGGGAAGGGCTGCGCGCTGCAGGCTGGCGTGTGCAGAGGAGTGCCCCGCGCTGGCTCGCTGCCTCTTGCGAACACACACGCGCCTACCCGGCTCCCTAAAAAGTTGCCTCCTTCCCTTGTCTCAGTGGATGGGAAATGGACGTCCTGGAGCAAGTGGTCCACGTGCGGCACGGAGTGCACCCACTGGCGCCGGCGGGAGTGCACGGCCCCGGCGCCCAAGAACGGCGGCAAGGACTGCGAGGGGCTCGTGCTGCAGTCCAAGAACTGCACGGACGGGCTCTGCATGCAAAGTAAGTGTGCGCGCGGTCACGCTGCCCCGTGGGGAGGAGATGCCTTAGGAAAGGCGTCCCGGAGCTCCAGGTGGGAGCATCTCCAGGCGAGAGCACCTCCTGGTAGCTGCAGGTGCACATCCAGAGGAGAACTTCCTCCTGCTAGGCGAGGGAGAGTGTTTTCAGCGCTGTGGCTTAGCAGTGACAGCAGCCACCCACTCGTCAGGCTGTAAACCTGTTGTTTGTGCTGGGGAGGCGCAGAGGCCTGGGGAGGAGATGTCAAGGCAGACAGCAGAGACAGGCGCACACGTAGCACAGTGAGTGCTGAGCCACACAACAGAGGAGCCTGTTCAGCCATTCCAGTCTCTGCGGTATAAATTAGAGCCTTCACAGGAAAGGTGCTCACGGTGCCTTGTTGACCCTCACTTTGCACTTGGGTGTCATAAACTCTTCTATTCTGAGCTAGTTTGTCCTTGGCCCCTGAGTAGGTGCTTAAGCAGGAAAAGAAAGAGAAGCTCTTTCTGGTGTCCTTTCCCACCTGCGCATCTGCACAAATGCCAAGGGCCCATGCATGGCTAGGGATACCTGGAATAAATAAAAAAGACCTCTCTAGGGGAAAGTGTTTGTGCCTTCCTCAAGGTCCTGCACACGAGCGTGGCACGCGCCAGCTGATGCTTCTCTCTAAAACCCGTCCAGCATCCAAACTTGGCAGCTCATGCAAGTGGCTTGCAAAAAGACTTTCAGTGTGTTAAAGCTATTGGTCAGTGTCAGCAGCACAAAAAGCTGTAATTCTTCAGTTTTTTATTTTTATGAGGAGGTGAGAAGGCAAGACTCAGAAATTCTTATTTTCTCTTTTCCAAAGATAGGGAAAAAAACAGCAATGTCCTATAACATCTTGGTGATTTTTAGAGTGGAAAAGCTAACATGTCTGTAGCTCCAGTGGTGTGAATAAACCATTAAGATAAATTAGGAAAAAAAGGTATGTCCCCCGTGCAGAAGAGCTCTTTCCTATCAGATTGTATTTGGACAGGTGTATGTCATTTTTGTGTATGTGCATAGGGAGAGCCATTTAAGCCGAAATCTAGTGGAAAAATAGATATAATGGTACTGCAGAATAAAAGCCCTGTAGGGATCTCATTTATCTGTTGATGGTATATTGCATTTTATTTGTGAAAGTGGATGCTGAAT